GAATCTCCGCACCCGACCAACTTTCTACCATAACGTCCTACACCACATCTAATATCCACCCTCCCCAAGAGACGAGACAAAATGCCCAAGCGCAAATTCTCCGACCTAAATGACCGACCCTCCGGGCCCGTCGACATCAAACTCGCGCGCCTAACCGCCAAATTCGAAAACGGCGTGACCGCCTTATCGCGAGCACTCAAGACCGCCCGGGCCTTTGAGCGCCAGAAACTCGGCCGTCGAGAAAAGACCGCCAAGAGCGAGAATAAGCCCGAGGCGCTGACGAGAATCGAGGAGGAGATTAGGGTGATTAAGGTAGGTAATGCGATTGCGGTTGCTGTTTGCAACAGAGGCGCAGTGTGACTGATTGGCGCTGATGCTGACGGATGCGACAGAGTCTTAATTTCCAGGCCACGGCGGAGAAATACCTCTTCAAGCAGCTTATCAAGACGAAGCGGATTGCCGAGTCGCCTGTTTTTGTCAAGTTCAAGGAGCGGAAGAATATCTCCACGGAGGGGCCCCGGAGCACGGCTGAGGCGAATGTCACGGCTAGGCTTTACAAGTCGAATCCGGTGAAGAATGTCTTTCCGGGTATTATGGACGGAATTAGACAGTTACTTGGGTTGGAGGCTGCGCCGGCAGGGAAAAAGAGTGGCTCAGAACAGAAGAAGGGGTCCGTCGACCAACGCAAGAGTGAAAGCAAAGAGCCAGAGACATCGTTAGATGGAAGGTCAGAGCCGGAGGAAGGATCTGACGCAGACAGCCGAAAGACTGCGTCCAAGGCCGCTGCGAGATCCGCGAAGCCAGCTTCTGGTGAAGCAGACGGAGAAGAAGGAAGCGACGTCGACATGGACGACGCCGAGAGCGTAGACTACTCCCGCTTCGACGCACGGCTGGCCTCAGGCTCTGGTTCCGACAGCGATGGCGAAAGCGACGCCGAAGAAGCCTCACACTCGGACGACTCCAACAACCCAGCCCACTACTCCGACATCTCCCGCTCCCCCACCCCCGAACAACCCACGAAGAAATCCAAATCCAAAAAGGCCACCTCCACCCCAGCGACAAGTACAACCTTCCTCCCCTCTCTGACAATGGGAGGGTACTTCTCCGGCTCCGAGTCCGAGCCCGAAGACCTCGAGGGCGTCGCGGGCCCACCACGCCGAAAGAACAGAATGGGCCAGCAGGCTCGCCGTGCCCTCTGGGAGAAGAAGTACGGGAGCGGAGCGAACCATATCAAGAAACAAAAGGAGAACGAGTGGAGGAATAGGGACAGTGGCTGGGATACACGCCGGGGCGCTACGGATGGCACTGAGGGGCCGAGAGGGAAGCGTGGACTGGGTCAGGGACGACCCTGGCAGAGGGATGGCAACTCCACCGGTGGTGACCGGCCGCAGCGTGGTCCTCCCGGTGGCTCCAACAAAAAGAATGGCAAGGATGATAAGCCGTTGCATCCTTCTTGGGAGGCGGCCAGGAAGGCCAAGGAGCAGAAGTCCATGGCGGCGTTCCAGGGAAAGAAGGTTACCTTCGATTAGCTTGCATATTGTCTCTTCTCTTACGAATGAAAATACCCTGCGAAGGAATTTCTGGAATTGTTTGATGTACATATAGCATCGTTGATATGTTCAAATAGGTATCATGCGTGAAACGCGTGGCTAAAGCCCGCTCAAGCTATCGTATTACATTTTTCCCATTAGAAAATCGCCTTGCCTACGTCCATTATTCGCCCATGAACTGCATCCACCTCGTATCCGGTGGACATCCTTGGGACGTCTTCATGTCACCCCCAAGGCCCTGCTGAGGGTCAGTCTCAAAGCAGGGAATGGCAGTAAACTCGCCCAGTTCCTGCGGGAAGTTGGAGACAAAGTGGTCGAATCCCAAAGGCGGCATTTGGGAGAACGCATGGGGCGCAGAAAAGTCCGAAGAGCCTGCAAGATCCGTGCTGGCGACATCGCCCTCCATGGCGTCGTTGCCTGCCTCCGTGCCGGTCATCGGAGTGACAGGTACAGGAGGGATCCCTGTTCCAGGCCGCGCCGGAGTGTACTGTTCAGGGAACGTGACCGTGGTCCCTGGGGAGATCGGTCCGGTCTTCCATAGCATCTCCCAGTTCTTGAAGCGATCGTAGGCGGACTCGACGACACCGGCATTTCTTTGAGCCTGTGTTTCGCTCCACTCTTCAAGACGGCGAATGGCTCGCTCGAGTGCCTCGATCACGCTGACGGCGGACCTGGCTGAGCCTACTCCCATCGACATGATTTTGATCAGGGCCATGCCTTTTTCTAGCGCTTCGCGCAGCCGCTCTGTCCGCTTGGTCAAGCTCTGGGCTAGGATGACCAGCAGTGCGGCGCGACAGGAGCTGAATTCGGTAAACGACGCTCGAGCAAGACCGGTTTCATCACGGAGCAGCCGACAGAGATCAATGATCTCGAGTGCTGCCTCAACGCAGTCAGTGACGAGCGTTGACCAGTTTTTCGAGAGTCCGGATGTCGTCTTGAACGGTGGGCCTTGAAATCCAACTGGGTTGGTGGACTTCATGTTGCTGAATAGGAATGGTCGCCCAATGAAGATTCTCGTTAAGCAGTAGTCAAGTTTCAAGTGTACATTCGAACGGAATAGGGGCCCGGAAGGGTTCAGGTCTCGACAATCGGTCTCCTCTGGTAAAGTAGCCCACCAGTCCAGCAGACTTTTTCTCAGACTGAGTAACCGCTCAAGGCAATCCAGCTGTTGACCTTTTCGAGATTTCCGCAACACGGATCTGCTAATGTTAGCGCTCGTCTGATCGCTCAGGAATTAGTCATACGCACATCTCGTTTGATACTTCACCCAGTTTCAGAGTCAACTTGATCAATGTCACCATGTTCGTGTGGTTGGACACTTGCCCCGTGGGCATCAGACCGGGAAAATCGACAGGCATCGCGGCGTCAACATCTGCATCAGATAAAGAAACCGGCCTTCCGTGGAGGATACTAACGCGCCTGTTTTGATGAGCATATTGTGGCTAACCTGATGAAGGGAAATGACCTACTTCTCTATGGTGTACGCCGTCCAAAAGACGCGGTTGCGGACCTCGATCATCCGCGGAGAGAGCCCCTCGCCCTGATACTTCCGATGCATACCATTCTGAATAGCCATCTTTAGTGCTAGACCAAAGTACGTATAGCAGAGTCCAGATGTGTCGAGAGGTAGCAGATATGTCCCTATCAGCAGGCAGGCCTGCACACTTCGAACCGAGGCAGTGGCGATGATATCAGGAAGCAATTTCGACGCAAACTGGTAAAAGGTGAGCCCAACCTCATCTTCCGAGAAATCGTGGTCATAGTTAAACGATGAGTCCGCCGATAGTCGATTGACAGGAGTGGCAGACTCCATGTGAGCAAACTGAGTGCCAACCGCCAGGACCATGAGAATGGAGCAGACTGAGCCAGCATCGTCGGACGAAAGGCTCGATGGGTTCGTATAACATGTGTGCATTTTTTCGAGTAGCCAGTCCTCTTCCACGTAGAAATTATTTGTCTGGGCGTACTTGAAGAAGATTTGAACCAGAAAATCTGCCACATAACGAGGCGGCAGACAGGTGATGGCTGCCGAGACCATGGAAGAGCCTGACTGCAGCTGAGTCGCCCGCCATCTCTCCTCAAATGGTTCCGCTTCGGTAGATGCCTGAACGATCAGCAAAGTGTGACCGTAGGCATCGTCGATACATACCTCTGGTGCCGCAGCTTTCATCCATTCATCAATTTTCTTCCGAATCTTCATCGAGAAATTCAGATATGAAAACTCTCCCGAGTATTCTATGCAACGATCAGTCAACGCTCTAAGCATACCCCGAGGGAGCTCTATACATACGTGTCGTATTATCAGGCAAAGCCTTGATCATAAAATCCTCATCTTCAATAGCAAGATCCTCAAGGTCCTCGCCCTCAACGCGGGTCGAGGGAACATCAGACTCCGACCCGCGATGCTTACTCTTCAGCTCCTCAGCCGCCTTTCGCAACGACGGAATGTCAAAGGAGATGTTGGGCACATAGTACTCTAGAATGCGCTCCATGAGTCGGATCCGCTCCCCCTCAGCAATATCGTGACGGCTGAGGCCAGCGGTGCGCTCCAGAAGGCTGACGTACATGATTAGTTTGCGGACTTCAACAAAAAGATTGTAATGTCAAGGATAAAAATCAAACTTACGAGACCGACGATGAGCGAGCAAGTTTCTCTGCATGATCGGGGTGAGTAAAGACACACTGTCGCCGATAGCGCAGACACCGCCGACAGGGGACGCCTCCCTCGCACTTCTCCTTGACTCGACGACAACCATCGCATCTGCGAAAGTCAATTATCGGTAATGTCGCAAAATGCAGTAACGAAAGAAATGTAGCACTGTAGGGGTCATAAAAGACTGAACTTACGCTCTCACAGCTCTTTTGCGGTTTTCCTCCGAAACGCGGGGACGTTTTGGATTCCCCAGAGATGCCGGGGTAGAAACATCCATGACAGTCTTGCAGTTATGAAATCAAGGAGGATGATGGATGAGCATTGTCTTTCGCCCAGGAATGATACGAATGAAGGGCAGATCTCACTTTACTTCCACCTGTCCAAGTGATGTCGAACCGAGTGCTTAGATGGGGGGAAAAGCCGATCCGCCGGGGCGGTGTCTGCTAGTTTTCTGCGGCAGTGGGGAAATTATTAAGGTCTTGTGCTCCCGGCTGATAGAGACGTAGATAACCCGATAAGTAAATGGGCAATTCCCCGCAGATCAACATAGATTTGCATCAGTACGAAGGTATAACTCTGTACAGAATTCAGACTCATCATTATTACGGTCATGGTCGTGTTGGAGTACCTCTCTATTTATATGCTTTAACACAGCAATGACTGTTCGAGGGATTGCATTGTCGCCTGATTTATGCCTCAGGCATAGCTTCTCTATATATACTGGAGTAACTGGACTATACAACTTTATGCTGCTACTCATCCACATCCAGTCAGAAGAAAACGCAAGTCAAAGACCATCAGAAACCATCCACATTCATCCCCAGTCCCTGCTCGACACCAATATCCAACAGCTTCTTCCCAATCACCAAATCCATGATCCCCATCCCCACGCACTTGAAAACCACATTACACCCCTCCGGCACCACAACCGGCTGCGACTTGCCCAACTCCCCAAACAACTCCCCAATCTCAATCAACTGCTCCCCTGGTACCTGTGCCTTGATCAGCTCCCCAGATTCCTCCAGACAAGCCTCCCGAGAATCAACGTAGATCTGTCCACCACCCGAGAGCACCGTCTCGGAGTCAACCTCACACATATGAGGCTTGTACGACCCAATCAGCGAAATAAACCGCTGCTTAGGCCCAGACGTAGACGAAAGATACCCATATGGAAAGTTCGGCTCCGTAGACGGCGTACAGCTAAAAATGACATCGCACGAGGCGACCTCCGCGCGCAGCCGCGCCTCATACTCCGCATCATCAGACCCCTCTCTAGCCAGCGTAGCGAACACGACCTCCGGATGAGAAGCTCTCAGCTCCGCGATAACCTCCCTCTCCAGCTCCTCCAGCCGCCTGCGACCCCGGTTAATGAAGGTGATTCGCTGCACCAGGCTTGGGACAAGCAGCAGCGCCAGCCGAGCGTGCCACTCTGCTTGGCGTCCCGAGCCGAAAATCAAGATGTGTTTCTTAGCGATAGAAGTGCAGCGCGTAAACAGCGTCATGATTGCGAGGGCTGTGCGAAAGGCTGTGATTTCTGCGGCGCTGAGGAGGCCGAGGAGCCGGCCCTCTGGCGAGAAGATGTTGATCACGCCGATGATGCCTTCGCGCTGGGAGGCTGTGACGATCTTGATGCCTGTGCTGGCTGTGTTGGAGACGGGCATGAAGAGCGATAGGTTCTGGTCTTTGGTGGTGATGGTGGTGCGGAGAGGTTGGTGGATGAAACGCTCCCCTTCTGGTTTTGTGGTCTCTGATGAGACGGTTATCAGGGCTTCGCTCAGAGCGTCGAGTAAGATGTGGCATTGTTGTGGAGTTAGGTTTCTCAGAATGCGAGAGACGTCTGGTTCGGAGAGAAGATGCATCTTGGAGGAACCACGAAGTGGGTGTCTGGGCCTCGAGATGAAATAATGTATTCTGTAACCGCAGGAAGCTGTGTTTTCTCGTTAATATGAAGTCACTTGTACTTATAGACCCTTCTTTATAGAGTCACAGAATGACTGCCCCGTCCCACTGATATCATACGGCGATGTCGGAGGTGGAGTTATTGTTTAGCTGCAAGTTCACATAGTGGCCGGTCCTAACCGAGTATGTATCTAACCAATCTTTAAATGGGATATTGATTCTCAACGTGGTCCATTTATTATATTACGGGTACATCCAACCCCGGTCTTTCTCAAACGATCAAGAAACATCCATAGAGGTAAGATTGCAGACCAAGTCTAATAAACCATGAAAAATGCCAAGGCCGTCTATATCAACAACAATGAATTATCCACTTGCAAGCTTACAATTTTAGCAAGTATAGGAACCAGTCTGTATCAATATCCCGCCACGGGCTCTTCAGGAGTATATTTCGCACAGTGGTCCGGTGTTGGTCCTGTTGCTCAGGACTTTTCTCACTGCTCTCATACCAGTCTTTTGCTCGACGCAGGTGTTTTTCGGCGAGAACGGCCAACGCCAGTCGGTACAGTAGGGCCTGGATGTCCCGTGGTGGTGAGTGGCCAGTCTGTTGAAGCATCATTACCGACGTGCCCCAATCTTCCGAGGCGATAGCCTGCATCCACGATTGCCACCAGGTAAACCGCCAGGGGAAGATCGTGTCTAATCCATTGTCCACGTGGAGGATCATTTTTGCAAGCTTGGATCCCAGCCAGGGGTTGTTTCGAATAGCCACATATATGGGAAAATTCCCGGCCGCATCGGGGATCAATGGATTTGCTCCGCGACTGAGAAGGAATGCCAGCACCGTGTAGACGCCGTCTACAAGCTGCCTTTTCTCCAATAGCAGCATCAGAGGTGATTGCTGAGCCGTGTTGAGGTGATTGACATCGGCTCCCCTTTCCACCACGATCTGGAGTAATTCGTAAATTGAAGGATCATAGTACCAAGCACCCAGGAATCTAATAAGCTGATGGACACATGTCTCGCCTATGCTGTTGACTCTTGCGACATCTAATTTCTCACATATCAAGGTGGCAAGCCGGGTGTCACATTTCTGGGAGGTAGAGCGAGTCTTATAGCAATAGTGCAAGAAGTATGTCAGTAGACGCTGAGAGTTCGGTCCAATCGTTACATCCGGGTCAGCACCATTGCCTAGAAAGCTCCTGAACAATGCGTTGAGGTGACTGTTAGCGTCAGCCCAAGCATTGTAAGAATTTGCGAGGAAGAGCTTAAACAGAGATGTTAGCTTCTCGGGTGTGAGATTGGCGGTCTTGGCCGTCAACATCTTGTCAACATGGCGTCCATGATCCCAGCTCATGCTTGGTGAGACGAGTTCCACAGCCTTTTGTATCGGAGTCACCCCAAGGTTGTTGGGGATATAAGGATTGGCCCCGGCCCCCAGCAGATGGGTCACAATGCTCCTTTGATGACCATGGTTTAAGCTTCTTGCTGAAATGGCCAGATGCAGAGGGGTATTTCCGTCCGCATTTCGATGGTCAAGCGTGAGTCGAGCAAGGTCTTGATTGACCATGGGCTCGATTTTCCCCACGCGACAGCCGAGTAGGGATTTGACAATCTTCTCGTCCTGATGGTCAGCAGTGTAATGCACTGGCAAGTTGCCGTTCCGATCCGGAACATCAATTGCTGCCCCTCGGCTCAGTAACACTTTCACCTCGTCTGCTTGTTCGTTGATGACAGCTTGATGAAGCTTCGTGTAGCCCGATTCGTCTTGTAAGTTCAAGAAGAAGTTCGCAAAAGTCTGGTCAATCATAGCCAGGGGCTCTCCGATCTCAGGATGGCCAGAGGCATGGGCCCCAGGACTAGTAGGGTATGCCACGATTGTGCTCGGTGCGAAGGAGACCAGGTGGTTAGCCTGCGAGTGCCTGGAAGTGGAGCCTTCTATGAGCATGTGGCCCCAAGTCGAGGACGTCTACTGGATTCTCACCTCGGACGTGCGTGATCGCTGAGCGGTGATATTGTAGTATCATCGTCATCAACGGGCATCCCTTGGTCGATTGACAATCCCCGTGGCAATGCACCAATGTTTTCAGCCCGTCTCCTAGTCTTTCTAAAGCCCCAACGCTTGAAAGAGTCCTTGTACGACCGTCTTCTGCTCTCTTGTCAGCCGCGGAATATCGACCTGAGAGGCATCCACTGTACTTACGACTTGCGAAATCCCCGTTTCTGCATCTCCAACATTACCTCGGTACAGGTCAGATCTTGCTCCAGGTAGAGCCGTCTGATATCGTCTTTGACTTCCTCCCAATCTCTTGTCATGGCTGGCAACTGTCGTCAGACTCAAGTCTCCCAAAGAAAAGGGTCACAGAACGACAACGACCAGACAAGGGCTCAAAGCTCGTGGCTAAACTGCCAAACGCCGTGCGGCGTGTGCGTTCTGAAAAGACGACTCGAAACAGGAAACAAGAGGGTAGATACCGCAGAGGACAAACATGATTGGAAAGAATAAGTGATATAACTGAACGTCTTCAGGGAGGGAGCAGCCGATTTAAATGGGAAATCCCATGGCCTTATTCTGTGCATTCAGGCCCTCGCCCAACAACACATTGACCTAGTTAATAATGAAGGGCGCTTCTTTCGAAGGGCGCTTCTTTCGAAGGGCAGCACAGCCTGATGTCTGCATCATCCTCCCCAGTACTCTCGAATTCTGTTCTCATCTTCCTGGTGAAGGCCAATTGGCAGTAGGGTTTGAGCTTTGTCTTTAAATTTAATCAAATTAATCAACGTTCGGCTTCCAGATAGTGTTCCCCGCGATGCAAAAGTACTGTGCGGTAAATCGACAAAGGGCAGGTTTCCAAAACGATGGAATAAGGCGTCAACTGTCGATGGCGGCAAGTCAGATGAATAGTCTTTTTTTTTGGGAGCCGAACAGAGGTACCCTGCAGTGGTCAGCTGTGGGTCTTTTGAATAATAATAATAATAATTCCTGGAGAACAGGGGTCAGAGTCTAGAAGCCCAGTTGAGGCAGAAGACAGAAGTACCATACTCTAGCCGCGTCCTGTTCCATCCTAGCGGTGTAGCCCGTGCGAGTGTATCAGGCTGTGAGAAAAATTGAGAGAAAGTACGTACCGACAAGGGTGGAAAATGGCAGTCTCTGATGGGTAAAGAGGAGGAAGTCAGCATTGCGTTGGCAAACACGATGGTGGACATGGGTCTCTCCCAGAGTTCAGAAGGGCAACTCCTAAAAGGCAAAAATACCTTGCCCTCCAGGTCTGTACTTCTGTCATTCGCATATCCTTTCTATTATTTTCTTTTTTCAGTTTTATTTCCTTGATTCTTCCCTGGTCATCATGCACCAAAACGCGCTTGACGTGTTGCTGGGATCTTTGCTAAGATGAGTTGCCCTAATGAACGAGAAAAGGTACCATCGTCAGCGTTTCGTTTACGACCGGAGAGTGCAGAAAGTGATCCCTTTTCTTTCTTTCTAAAAAGTCGTTATCATTAATCGATGAAACAAGCTAAGATTAAACCACTAACGCCATCTAAATGCATTTTCGCCAGCACGACATCACAGGATCACCCGAAAGAAACAGCATGCAAGAGAAATTGCAGCCAACCGCAGCATGGTATCAGAAGTACGAAAAGAAAACTCAACAGGATGACGATCAATTGCTCGGACGGAAAGCCTGGCGGGCTCTGCGCTTGAGTTCAGCAAACATGGCCTCCTGCGACTGCTTGGTGCGCCCGACGGCCTCGGTGTTCTCGACAGCACGTCTGAGCAAGAATCCCATGCATTCCTTGACGGATCCCCAGGTGAGAAGCTTGTACACATTAGGCGATTCCACGAACGAGTTCTTGCCAGTGGGCTCGGAGCTCTGGAAGCCTTCCAGCAGCTCACAGCTGACTTCGTCCGCCATACCCTGGAGCTGAGCGTACGAGAGATCCACGCCCTTGTCCTCACCCTTGCTTGCCTGCTGGAGACGCAGCGCGTGTGCCTTGCGGACAGAATCACGGTTGTGTGTGGCGATGATAACGTTAACGGGGGGCAGCTCGGTCTGGTGTTCCTCGGACGCGGGCTTGAGCATGGAGTTGTACCGTCTGGTAAGGAGGGCTTCAACAATGCCGTCGTAGCAAGCGTCAGTTTCCTCTTTCTTCGACCAGATCAAATGGCGAGGCTCGGTCTTGAGATAGGCTCCACGGACCAGCTTCACACCGAGGGTATAACCTTCCTGGCGAGCGATCTCCAAGTGGTTGGCGAGAGTGGTGGGGGTGGAACACAAATAGGCCTGGTAAGTGTTGTAGAAGATGGCACGACCAGGTGTCTGCGAATTGCAGTACTTCTGATACTTCATGGTCCAGTTCTCGATTCCGGGCTGCACTGCCTGCTCCTCGGCATCGACGAGCAAACGAACGTTACGGGAAATAGCCAAGTCACAAACTCGCTGAATAGCTTCGTCCATGAACGGAGAGGGGGCGGCCTTCTTCTGCAAGAGGTCCAACGCCTGGACACCCATACCAGTGAATCTATGACAGTCAGTTGATGGGCTCAAATTATTCTAGAAGAGACTCAAGAGGAAAACATACTTCAGAGCGACGAAATCGCCTTCCTGTGCCATGTCCACGGTCTGCAGAGTTCCGTCCAACCACATCTGAACCTCTTCGCGAGCAGCCTTTTCATCACGAGGGCTGACGTCGCTCTCACCAACCAAGACCTCCTTGGCGTAACCCAAAAGGACGCCTCGGTAGCCGAGATTCTTGATAGCGCGAATGGACTGCTGAACTTCCAGCTTGTTTTCTCCCGCGTTGAACTGCTTGTAGATCGTGTGCTTGACGAGCATGTTCAGCAGAGGGTTTTTGGCGACGTCGAGAAGAGATGTTTTGGGATGCGCCAACACTGAAAGGGTATAGATGCATGGCTTCAGTAGAAGTGAGGATGAAGAAACAGAGAGGATCATCAAGGACC